CCAAAATATTTTTAAATTTAGTTCATAAGTGAGAGAAATTTTTCTGTAATACTATTGCTTATGTAAATGCAATGCAAGTGAATGTATAAAAACAAAAATAATTGAAAACTTGTTTTGTTTTCCTTAAATCTTGACGAATAAGTGGAAAATAGTTTGCAATAATATTTTCTTTCACTTGAATTACATGCAGACAATGCAATGCATTTAGATTTAAAATGCTTTTACAACATATTCTGAAATACACGTATAATATATTGAGTATTATTTCTATTCAATGAATAGTATTAAATATAATTGTAACTTTATTTAAATAATTTTTTTAATTTAACTTATATTTTATTTTATTTATAAGAACTAAATATAGATTTTAATATTGTTAAAATGAAATTCATTATTGATTTAATAATGACAATATAAATAAAGTAATAAATAAAGATTGCACGACAATTCGATAAATTAACTACAATTCGGGATAAGCTCTTAAAAGAGGTTATAAATATCTAGGAGTGATTTTATAATTTATATGTTATAAACTACAATTTTTATACTGAATTGTAGTTAAAAATGAATGAATTCTTGCATCGATAGATTGAGTATAGTATTGGTTTTTATGAGTAACTTTATGAGTACCATATCTTATGGGTTTGAGTTACTGTACGGTAATGTACTGAATGTGTAATACAATATTTTACCAAAAATTAACCAAATTAAAGGTTACAAATTAAATATTAATTTATTGACACAAAATATTATTGATTTACATTTTAAAATTATAAAACAGAATCACCGAATATATTACACTCCATGTTATACCATATTTATACCAAATAAGCAAAAAAATTAAGTTATAATTTAAATAATGATTTAATAAAACTTCTTTGGTGTTTAGTTTTTCGAAAACTTTTTTGTTATTAAGAAATTATGATAACTATAAATAGACAGCTATTATTTTCTGATGTATTGATGTTTAGATGTAATGAAAATTAATAAATGACTAAAATTGATGATATGTTATATGGCATTGACTATTGATTGTTGACACTTATAATTTGATTAATCCAACCGACAAATGCTGAGACCTTAACATACACTCCGGGAACTCCACTCCTTCCACACCCAAAGCCTGTTATTATAAATGATATGAATTTATTGTTAATATGTGTGTCAATAGAGTATATCGGATGATATAATAAGTGGTAAAACAGTACAAACCCCAAGAGACTAGACCAGTCAGTTCATAATAGCCTTCAGTTTCGCAGACAAGTCCGGAGCCGCCATCGCCCTGACAGGCGTCGTTGCCCTCATCACCGCCGGCACAGAAACTACTCGCCGGCAGAATAAATAGCTTCTCAGTGACGGCATTCACTCTAACGGTGCACTCCTGGTCGTCGACAACGGGAACGTCAGCCTCGCGTACTCGCAGTGCTATCGGTCCCGCTTTGGTTGCAATGAGAATATAGCAAAAGTCGTTAAACAAATATTTAACATTAATTATATTGCATCTTACTTTCATCTTTATAGCCATATCCGGTAACTGTACACCTCTTTCCCGGTTTCCGTTTGGATCCCCGGGCGGGCAAACACACCAAACACACCGCTTCGTTCATTTCAACCGGTGATTCCAGTTTTAGTAGCGCTATATCTGCTCACAAATCAGTGAAATCAAAGTTGTAAAATGTATTGATTATTGGTATAATATATGGTAAATACCGTTGTCTAGCGTTTGGCCGTTATGGTTGTGATGAATGTAAGTGGTGCTCACTTTTTGAGTCTGAGCTCCTCTACTGCCCACTTGACTGGTCAGGTCGTAGTCACCGACTCTAACATAAATAGCTTCTCCACTTCTAACTAAACTGTTTTTTAAATCAATTAATATTTTTGCTCCAAAAAGTTATTACTTTTAATTACTTTGTAATACAATGGGCAGCACTGAGCACCCATTGGGACGATATTAGTGATCCGCCGCATAAATATTGGTTATTTGCATTGATCAAAGCCACCTAAAAACAATTAGAGTTATATAAATATTTGAAATGATCATGGTGTATATTAATAAATAAAAAGCACACAAACCTGCCAGCACCATTCCCCTGGAAAGGAATCACTTCCGCCCACAACTCGAGGAGTTTCTTGTCTTTGAGTGCCTTTAATGCCACACATATAAGGATTCGGTCGTCTCGGAGGCGGAGCTATAGTTAGTTTAGGTTTTAATTAAATATTATTTTAATTTAAATATTAATTAACAAACGTTTTATGGGGGAGTCGTCATAGTTAACAGTTTTATTATGGTCAAGTTTCCAGATGCCATTATTGGCCATAACATTAGCTTCAAATGTTTGAATGTCAGTCATAGGCGCACAGCATATCTGTCCCGCTTTCGCGCACTGAAATTTCGGGTAAATAGCATTTCCGCCAAAACACGTAAATCTAGAGATTATTTTTGAAAATTGAACTTTAAAGCAAAAATTTTAATGATTTGCTACCTAAACATGGGTGCAATACAAGGTCCCGGACAGAATGGTGGGCCCCCAACACCTATTGTCTTATTATCAACTGAATCCTTATCGACCGGTTGTTCGGGTTCTGGTTCTGGAGAAACTGGCAATAAAGAGGGATGTGATGGATGTGAAGGATGCGAGGGATGCGGTACTGGAATAATATCTCGATTGGGAATCAACTGAGGGATCATTTGAGGGTTTGGCGGATAATGTTTTGACGGCGGAAGCATTGGTCCCATAGGAAAGGGGGGAAAATTATTTGGAGGCGGTCTTTGGATTGGCATTTCTTGTGTATGCATCGGAGGCCGCGAATTGTCCGAAGGGAATGGCATTGGATTATAATTGTGTGGATTGTTTTGGGGAAACAGAGGCGGTTGAAGAGGTATATTAACTTTGGGGGCGTTTGTCTCGTCGCTATTCATCACGTCTTTGACAGATTCCTCATTAGATTCTTGCGGATTATGACAACAAATAGAGCCTGAATTGCAATCAATTGTCTTGAGTATGAGCTCTGAGGGCCGGTTACACATCCCACTCAATATAGTTGGGATACAATTGCCGGGACAGGGCTTGAGTGGAGGCGCTTCTGTTGTGGGATCTCTGTTCACACAACAACTGCCACCGTTTGGACAGAAGAGGGTGTAATCGGTTTCATCGCATAGAAGACTGAAAAGTGGTGCCACACATGTGCCCTCACATAATGGCAAAGGAGTGGTCGACACGCTATCCTTGCCGTGACTTGTGCTCAATGAGTGGATATCATTGCCTTTAATGTGATCTTTTGAATTATTTAATGAATCGCTTTGTTGTACAAGAGTTACNGCTTGGATACAACCGTAATAATGTATTTCCATGTTATGTAAGACAACATTTGTCTGTGTAATAATTCAGTAGTCATCGTCTCCTGAACTGTCTCTTACTTTGCACTTATCTTCGGTCTGTTTCACCAAAAGCTGAGTTTCAAGTATTGGTAATATGTTTTGGATTTTCCAAAATATTTTTAAATTTAGTTCATAAGTGAGAGAAATTTTTCTGTAATACTATTGCTTATGTAAATGCAATGCAAGTGAATGTATAAAAACAAAAATAATTGAAAACTTGTTTTGTTTTCCTTAAGTCTTAACGAATAAGTGGAAAATAGTTTGCAATAATATTTTCTTTCATTTGTATTACACGCAGACAATGCAATGCATTTTAAAATGTTTTTACAACATATTCTGAAATACACGTATAATATATTGAGTATTATTTCTATTCAATGAATAGTATTAAATATAATTGTAACTTTATTTAAATAATTTATTTTATTTATCTTATATTTTCTTTTATTTATAAGAACTAAATTTTAATATTGTTAAAATAAAATACATTATTGATTTAATAATGACAATATAAATAAAGTAATAAACAAAGATTGCACGACAATTCGATAAATTAACTACAATTCTGGATAAGCTCTTAAAAGATGTTGTAAATATCTAGGAGTGATCTTATAAACTACAATTTTTATACTCAATTGTAGTTAAAAATGGGTGAATTCTTGCTTACGATAGATTAAGTATAATATTGGTTTTTATGAGTTATGGCTCATAACTTAGGGTTTGAGTTACTGTAATGTACTGAATGTGTAATAAAATATTTTACCAAAAATTAACCAAAAGATAGTTACAAATTAAATATTAATTTATTGACACAAAATATTATTGATTTACATTTTAAAATTATAAAACAAAATCACCGAATATATTACACTCCATATTATACCATATTTATACCAAATAAGCAAAAAATTAAGTTATAATTTAAATAATGATTTAATAAAACTTCTTTGGTGTTTAGTTTTTCGAAAACTTCTTTGTTATTAAGAAATTATGATAACTATAAATAGACAGCTATTAATATCTGATGTATTGATGTTTAGATGTAATGAAAATTAATAAATGACTAAAATTGATGATATGTTATATGGCATTGACTATTGATTGTTGACACTTATAATTTGATTAATCCAACCGACAAATGCTGAGA